GGGAAGCTAAGCGCCGAGGTTTACAAGCGATACGATTGCGGCTTCTAAGCTAAACCCCTTAACCCTAAACCCTAAACCCTAAACCCCAAACCCTAAACCCTAAACCCTAAACCCGGAGCCCCTCGAATCCGAGCTCGGAGGCTCCGACGCATAGCTTTGCAACGTCTCCCAGCACTTCTTCGGAAGCTCCGGCCGTTGAGAGCGTGTTGGCCACCACCAGGGCTCCCGAGCTTTGGAAGACCCTTGCAGAGACCGGGACGACCCCGAAAAGTTCGCGAACTCCGGCGAGCAAGGCGGACACCATCGCCGTGATGTTGGCCATGCAGCGCTCAGGGACGAACTTCCTGGCCGTCGAGCTGAGCCGACACCCCTGCATCGACTTGCAGCACGAACTCTTCAACGACCTGAAGAAGGCAGGCTTCCCATGGAGCCTGAAGTTGCGCCAGAAGCTCGAAGCACGTGTGTATCCCTCATGCCCTTTTTTTCTCCCTCGCGGTTGGGCAGAAGCCAAAGTTTCGGGTCTTGTGATTGTTTTTCGAAAGCCTCGGCTCTTGGAGAAACGAGGAAAGTCCTGAAGCGATTTCTCTTTCTGGACTTCGACGCTTCTGCCATTGCACACTTCCCAGAGAACACCCAGGACATCTTGAGCCGTTCCCTCGAGTCTTTCAAGGCGGGCATCTCATGAGTCCTATCCCTCTCCATGCTGAACGCGAAGACCCTCAAAACCCCAAACTTTTCAGTTGTAATCCTCAAGAAAAAATTCCCCAAAGGCTTACTTTTTTGAGGGGCTTGAGAACTCAATCCTAAGGCCATATATGCCCCAATCCCAACTGTTGGTCATCATCACCGCAACCAGTCGTCGCAGCCCTCGACCCCCGCGGTTTAAAGCCCTGAAGCCTAGAACCCTAAACCTTAAACCCGAAACCCTAAACCTTATGAGCTTGGGAAGCCCTAAAGGCGCTAAATCCAAGCCCTTGACCCCCCCCAAAGCAAACCCAGAAAACCCTATGACAGACCCTTCGAAAAAGGACCTACGAGCGCCAAGCCTATAGACGCTGATCGTCAAACCTACCAAAAATTACGACACTTACAACTAGAGCTACAAACGAACCTTATCGACCTTTGCAAGAAATGGCCTCCAAACAAACCTGATAGGAGCCACGAGCCCGAATGCAGCTGCTCGCCCGATAGCAGCAGGCTTGCGAACGCTGCGCACGCATTCCGCGTCAACTCCTACTTAAAGGATCATGGGACTTAGTAAGTAGGGTTATAACTAAGGTAACCATAGTTATATCCCCAATTAAGGGACTTATAACCCTTACTTACTAAGTCCCATGATCCTCCAAGTAACCCCCAGACCCCCAAGCTTCAAACGAGAACCCTTCTGCTACGCATTCGGGAACCACAGGGACCCATGCAGGGGCCCCGTACAGCCAGGCCGGCGTCCCAGTGAGGGGCTTCAACTGGAAGCTTAACCAGGAGCCGAACCGATGGGGGGCCTCTCTCTGCGGGTTCCTAAACTCGGTTTAGGGTTTAGGGTTTAGGGTATACAGGGTGCCTTTAAAGGTTCCGTTCAGGGCTCCTCTCTCAGGGGGCTCTTTTAAATGGACCCCCACATCCTCAAGCGCTTCAAACCCTAAAGACTACCCGGAGAGAACCCACCCCAAAACCGGCTCTCAAATCGACAACCTCCTGATGTGACCTGTATAGAAACCCATATTGAACCTAGGTAAATCCCTCTAGAAACCAGGGCTAAAGTCCTGGCAAAGCTTTACAACAACTCGAAACACCCTCACAAAGCTTCATGAAACCAACGCAAGCCTTTACACGCCTTGTCCAAACAACTGTTAGGCACCCCTGTGAATCTCTTATTGCTCTCAATCCAAAACTTTTTGCAAACCCCAAAACCCTAAACCCTAAACCTAAAACCCTAGACCCGAAACCCCTAAACCCGAAACCGCAAACCCCGAAACCCGAAACCCTAAGACCCTAAACCCCAAACTCCAAACCCTAAACCCTAAACCCTAAACCCTAAACCCTAAACCCTAAACCCTAAACCCTAAACCCCAGACCTGGATCTCCAACTCCTACAGCCCTTTCAGGACTTCCTGCCGGCCTGGGGCACGTGGCTGCCAGAGGCTTTGGCGCATCTCCATGGGAGAGCGTTGGGACTTTGCGTAGAGTTTCGGGTTTAGGGTTTCTATAGCGTTTCGGGTTTAGGGTTTCTATAGGGTTTCGGGTTTAGGGTTTCTATAGGGTTTCGGGTTTAGGGTTTAGGGTTTCTATAGGGTTTAGGGTTTCTTTTGTTACAGAAGGTTTAGGGTTTAGGGGGTGTGGAGTTCAAAGAAGTCTGGGACGCGGCTAAGGGATCTTAAGAGGATCTAGGGGATACGGAATTAAAGGGATCTAGGGCTTGGGTTCAGGGAAGTTTGGCTTCAGGGTTCTGAGGGCTGTGGCAGTGTAGGGGTTTAGGACTTCGTGGTTTCCTTGTATTGTTAAACCCTAAACCCTAAACCCTAAACCCAAAACCCTAAACCATTGTTCCTTGAAGAGGTAGCTGTTGGGCGCTTCGGGCTTTCAGGGTTGCAGAGTTTCAAGACCCTAAACCCTAAACCCTAAACCCTAAACCCTGTTCTTTGAAGAGGTAGCTGTTGGGCGCTTTGGGCTTTCAGGGTTGCAGAGTTTCAAGACGACCCTAAACCCTAAACCCTAAACCCTAAACCCTAAACCGTGTCCTGCATCCCAGAAATCTCCAAGCCCTCATCCTTAGACCTGCAAGCTCTGAACCTCAGACTCCCAGCGCTAAGCCTTAAACCCCCTAACCCCCTAAACCCCTAAACCCCCAAAACCCTAATCCCCTCTAAACCCCCAAACCCTAAACCCTAAACCCTAAGACCCTAAACCCTAAACCCCCAAACCCCTAAACCCCGAAACCCCTGAACCCCTAGACCCTAGACACCCCCTTAAACAAGTTCCCACACTGAGCTTCTCAGGACCTGATGGTAAAGCATCGCATCCGCTTGATTTGGGTGCAGCGGAGCCTTGGTTTTGTCTTTTTTCCGGGTCTGTTTTAGGGTTTTGGGTTTAGGGTTTAGGGTTTAGGGTTTGGGGGTTTAGGGGTTTGGGGGTTTAGGGGTGTAGGGGTTTAGGGGTTTAGGTTTAGGGTTTAGGGTTTAGGGCCGTGTTGCGGTGACAGCATATCATATCTGCCAGTTGAAGGTTCTTGAAAGCTAGTTTGTCACCTCATGTGTGTCTCGTATGTCTTTTTGATGTTGGTGCTTGAGCTTTAGGGCCAAAGGGTCAAAGGCTGATTTCCAAGTTGTCTGCGGTCTCAACGAGAAGCTGACCTAGGAGTTCCAAGAAGAGGCACCCTAAACCCTCAACCCCAAACCCCTAAACCCTAAACCCCTAAACCCTGAAACCCTCAACCCCTCAACCCCTAAACCTACGTTTGGGTGCTAAGGTCGCATGCGCTTGGGAACCATGAGCCTTAATCCAAGAGCCCCCGACCACCTGGCCTTGGCCTCTTTGTGTGGTCACCACAAAGCTGGAAGAAGTAAGGAACAGTTTAGGGCCTTTCTTTGGGGTTTGGGGTTCGGGGTTTAGGATACTCATAAGGCGCAAGCCTCCAACATATGGGTGGTTGTCAAAATTATGGTCCCTTTTTGGGTCCTTATTATAATACGGCACCTAGTATTTAGGGTACCCCAAAAGGGACCATAATTTTGACAACTACCCATATCCCAAACCCTTATAAGACAGGGGTTCTGCAGCGAGGAACAATTTGCTGCGACGCATCTTCTCCAACCAGGCGAACAAGAAGACTCGCACATGGGGCACCACGAACGACGCTGGGTTCACTCGGCCGTTGTTGAAAGTTATTTTTGAATTCTACTGCTTCTAAACCATAAACCCTAAACCCTAAACCCTAAAACCCTAACCCTACTCTGACTGTAGACCTAAATACCGACACTTCGAATCTCGAGGCCCAAAACCCTAAGCCCAGAACGCAAAACTTCAATCCGAAGCCCTAAAACCGGCCCCTAACCCCCAAACCCCAAAACCTAGACCCCAAACCCAAACCCTAACCCCAAACCCTAAACCCTAAGCCCAAACCCTAAAGCTAAACCCTAAACCCAAACCCTAAACCCCAAACCCAAACCCTCAACCCCAAACCCAAACCCTAAACCCTAAACCCTCAACCCCAAACCCAAACCCAAACCCTAAACCCTAAACCCTCAACCCCAAACCCAAACCCTAAACCCTAAACCCTCA